ACCGCTGCCGCTGCTAGCTATCGCCACTCGATGCTCACCGTCGTCGCTCGCTGCTCGCCATCGTCCCCCCTTGCTACGCTGCCGCTGCCGCTGCTTGCAGACGTGAGAGTGACAGTGAGAGAGAGAGAGAGAGAGAGATGAAATTGGGGATTTTTTTGTTTAAGGGAGTTTTTTGAGTTGGTGAGAAACAAAAGGAAGGGGGGGAATTTAGATAGAAAGAGGGGGAAACGAAAAGAAAAGAAGAAAAGAAGAGGAGAGGCGGTGTGACGTGGTTTTATTATTATTATTATTTTTTTTTGTAGTTAATGATTTTTTTTAAAAAAAAATTTCATTTGTTTTTTATTTTTTATTTTTATTTTTTAGTTACTAAGGTTGAAAATTTATTTGTTTCATTTTTATTTTAATGAAAAAAATTATTATTATTTTTATTTGGTAGAAATTGGGGTAATATTTTAATGAAAAATATTTTCTATTAAAATAAAGTTAATTTTTTGTGATCAATTAAAAACATTTTCTCGTGGCCCATTTTTTTTGGTTACCAAGAATTAGGAACTAATTTTCTATGGTGGAAGAGAGGGAGCGGCAACAGTAATGAAGGTGGTAGATAAGAGGTAATGGTGGTGGTGGTGGTGATAGTGAAGGAAATTAGTGGTGAAATTGTGGTAGTGGTAGAGGAGATGGAGTGGCGGTGGTGGAGGAGAGGTAATGGTAGTAGTAGTAGTGGCAATAGTAGTGGTGGTGGTAGTGGAGCGGTGGCGATGGTGGTAATAATGGTAGTTATAGAGGTGAAGTGGCAACAGTGGTGGTAGTGGAATGACATTTACAGTAGTGGTGAAGGTGGTAGAGGAGATGAGTGGTAAGAGAGAGAGATGAGTGAAAGACAGATCGATGTGCCAGAGGTTATAGTAGTTTTGGCGAAGCTGCATCTTGTCCAGATGCTCTTGCGACGCCATTGACATCTTCGAAGAGCTCGAAAACCAGGAAACTCTAGCTGATGATGAAGATGAAGAAGATGAAGATTTTCAAAAACACTTTTGAAAAACATCCAAAGCACTTGGCCCATTCCTACAACTTTGGGTAATCTAAGCTGGTTCATGTTTTCTAAGCTATTTTTTGGACCAACTAGGCATCTGAGAGATCTGTTTGAAGTAGCAATTGAGCGCGACTCCGACAATGCAAGCGCGTTTGGTTGATTTCATGGCAATTTGGGGCTCGAGAGGGGGTGAGAGGACTTCAATTGAGGGTCGAGATTGAGCGGTTAGGTTAGGGTTTAGCTTGTTTCGAGAGGTGTGGTAGAGAGAAGCTTGAGAGAGATCAGGAATCGAGACGATGACTCAAATTTGATTCAGATCTCGACAATGTATAACACGTGCGTGCATTGAATAATTATTTCTTTCTTTCTTTCTTTCTTTTTTTATTTTCTTTTCTCTTTTTATTGCATATTTTTCTTTTTCTTTCAAAAAATTTAAGGTTTATGTTTTTTGTTTTATTTTTAAATTTTTGGTGTATGAACACGAAATAATCTATCTCGTATAATTCTGTTGATCAAGTTTGTACTCCTCCAAATGTCGTTGTCTTATCACCTGAAAACACAAATGTGAGCTAGCTGGCGGGTGTATGCCAGAAATCCCTCCAATGCCAAAGTCAACAAATAAACAACAGACAAAAAAGTTCTATGAATTCGAAGTATGAATTGCAATACCTGAGATTAGGGTTTGGTTTGAGCTTTTGTAAATTCCGTCTGGCACAATCTTAATAGAACTCTAACTCTTCTTAGTAGAGTCTTGCTAGGAAACACACTCCCAAGGATAATATCTATCCTAGCAACACCCTACTCACTACTAACTAAGTGAGATGGCTCAAACCTCCTACCCTAGCTTGGTAGTACGCTCAACCAAGCTAGCATGGCCCTACCTTAGGCTGGATAGAACCAAGATTTTATTCAACCGAGATAAACCACAGTTTGGTATACAACACAAGTTATACCTTGGTTCGAGCTGTTGATTACACCTAGTCCACCTGTTCCAGACCCTGACCTAATGTTTGTACGCCTTAAGACCGAGCTATTGAAGCTCTTAGCTCGGCCAGAAGCGTGCCCCAATAGAGGAGACTACCTAGCTCGGCCCAATGCCTAAAACAAATGGACCTAGCTCGGCCCCATTTATGCACATAAATTACCTTCTCAATTGCCCCTTAATCCCATCTGCGTAGCATGATTGAGATTATTGTTTCAAAGCCGAGCTGAATGCACAAAATTCAACTGAGCTCAATATTACCCTGTTTCACGATTTGTTCGGTTTGGAAACGTCTTGTTAGTTGCTCTGCACGTCGCTCCACTACTCTAGCACGTCTGAAACGTCATTTATTCCTTTGGACACATGGCATGCCCCCATTGGTCAAGCACCCCTGTTATAGCTGTCTCGTACTGTTTGAAATTTGAACAGTCCCGCTCATTTTGATTAAACTATAAAGCCTCACTTTTTCGAAAGGCCACTACTGTTTATCTTCTCTCCCTTGCATTCTGAGTTCCACACCTGTATCTCCTGTGCTCTAGTCTTAACCCAAGTAACTACATTACCGGCTCTACTCACCTTTTTGCTGGTGCTCTTGTTGATTGGATTTCGTCTTCATGCTTTAAAGCCGTAAGTCTCTCACGCCTCTTTCTCCTTTTTGCTAATGTTCTTTTTTATTTATTTCTAAAGACCAGCACTTCAACACCATATATGCTTTTTAGATCTACTAGAGTTTGAACAAATATCATAAACCCAAAATCACATGCTCAAGCCTAAAAACATATTGGCTGGATTTTGGACACCAACTCTTTTTTTGGTCGCCAAAATATAACCTTCTGCGACCAATAATATTTGGTCGCCAAAAATAATGATCATTCGCGACTAATTAATATTTGGTCGCCAAATGTCATTTTTTTGTGACAAAAATTTTTTTGGTCGGCAAAAGTGGTCGCCAAACGTGTAAATTCTTGTAGTGTGAACATGGCCAAATTATCTGATTTTATTGTTTAAAATTATTTGACGAAGGGAACTGACGTTAGGTGTGGCATCCAAATTTGACTTTTATTCAAAGTGGTTTGTTTTTTTTCACAAAATTGGTAAAACTCCATGGTTTTGTTTCATCTGTTTCCCTAGTCATGAGAGGGGACCATCTTTTGTACAAGTAATTGACGAAGAAGATAAGCCTTTGCTGAACTTCAACTTCACCATGTTCTTATACAGGTCATTGAATAATATGGGGCTAGTTTAGGATTCAAGATCCTTTACGTTGTGTTTGGTTGGAGGATTTGAAGAGGGATTTGGAAAGGGAAAGGGAAAAGTTAGGTGAAATGTGAATAAAATGTACCTACATTTCACCTAGTTTCACACACCTTTTCCCTTTCTCTTTTCAAATCCCTCCCCAAATCTCCCAACCAAACACAGCATTAGCTATCAGACTGGAACAACATAAAACAATGACATATTAATAAATTTTATAAAATTTTCAGACTAACTGATGTATCATTTAATAATAAAATTTTAAATAGGATTTACGCAATAATATAATAGGTGTTCCATTAGTAAATAAAAAAAAAAATTGTAAGACTCACTTTAGGGGTTAAGCTTTTCACATGTTCAAATATGAACTTGAAAGAGAACCTAAGGGGCTCATGGGGCTCATTATACTTTCGTTTTGATGATTTGAACAATTCATCTGTAAAATTTTTTTTGTATATATCATTCATAAAAAAAAATTAGATCGATTCGATATTCATAACATTTTTATTTTATCGTGTTTGTTTAAAAAGAAAAATAAATGGTCTATTTTAAAAAATATACTTGTCATTTATTTTTTTAAAGACAAATGCAATAAATAAAAACATTACAATTATCAAATTGATTTAATTTTTTATATGGATTATACGTTAAAGGTGCTACAAAATGAACCGTTCAAATTATTGAAATAACAACTGTGGTGAACCCTATATACCTTTCGAGTTCATATTAAAATTTGAGAAAAACCTAATATTTTAGGTTCTATGATATTACTAAAAAAATGATAAATTGCATTGATCTCCCTAAGATTTAAAAAAAAAAGAAAATCTATAATTTTGACGTAATTTTAATAACATATTAATTGTCATAAGTGAATAAAAAAAATATTAATTTTTTAATTTGAATAGTATTATTAAAAAAACAAAAATCATAAAGAAGAGGATTTGATACATGGAACATGATGCTTTTGGTGGGCCATGCATTTACTTGTCTTTGAATAGCCCAACTCCATCATTGTCAATGGAAACTAAAGTTGGGGCCTGCAGCATGGAGTGTGCAAAGTTCTTACTCTTAAAAAAATGTTCCAATTGGCCAACTAGTCCTCACATACCAAATAATTCACTTCATCAGCATCTGCAAGTCAGTTTCCTATTCAATGATACCTCTCTCTCTCTCACACACACACACATTAAAGCACCAATTCCAATTGGATACAAGCTTTTCAGATGCTTTACTTTGCTAATTTTAAGGTAAAGGGGTAATGTACAATGTACATGACCTCAAATTCAACTACAAGCCTCAATAATTACATCTCTCATAATTGGCTCACACCCCCATCACCACCATTCATTTTGTTCTAACCAATTTAGTGAGTTCTAATTGAAAATTCCCCATTATACGATATACATGAGAAAACAAATAGAAGGGATAGCAAACCTTAGTCTAGATGAGATAATACAACCACTATAAGGCCATGTTTGTTTGGGTAGACATGAACTTGGGATTAGACTAATAGTCCAATAAAATTATTAATCCGATGTTTGGTTAAACAATTGAAGTACAGACTAATTATTTTAAACTTGACTTTTAGTTAATCCAACGAATTCGTTGGATACATAATCCAACGAATTCGTAATCCCAGGATTATTAGTTATGGGAATACTAATCCAGTCCGCCCAAACAAACATGGCCTAAGAGTATGAAATTTGTAAAAAGAGACTCCATGCACAAAACTTTCACTAAAAGGACCAGATGTATAGAGTCCTTTTTTTCATTTCTAGAAAGTTTGCTTGTATGACTCGAACTTACACCACTAAGAACGCTTATGGAAAATCTTATGTTGGGCCAAACCGCCCTTACAAACTGTTATAAATCAACAGCATCAACTGGTAGGGATGTTGTCCTGTGAAGAGTCTTTGGAAGACATGACCCTGTATAGAAGCTCTTGGCAGTAACCATATCCCCTACATTGGAAGAGCCATAGACCGGTTCGCATTTCCTGGCCCTAAGGGTTTCCGAAATGGGGGTGATTTTGTGAACTTGCCCGTGCAAACTTGAGCCGCAATGTTTCAAAACTGAAGATGATGATGAAACGCCATTAATGATTTTGGGTTTGCTAACACACGAACTTGAATTAATCTTTGGAGATTTTGGTACAAGTCCTAACTGTTGATCTCTAAGTTTTCTCAGTTCCATCTGGTACTTTGCTCTAAGCCATCTCAGTTCTTGCTGAATTTCAAGCTCATAATCATCTGAAAGATCACGATCAATTGATGCAGGAATCTTGGTACAAGAATGAGTACCCGATAAAGATTGGATCAAATTTCTTTCACAAGATATGGCTTCGGGCTCCGTTTCTCTCTTAGAAGTTGATTGATGTTCTTCATCAGTATGACTCTCTCCAGAGCCTAGTGAACTGCATCCAAGGCTTTCGTGGTGATCCCAAATTTCCGGAAAATGGAAACCATTGGCTCGGCCTGATAAAGTCGGATCATTTGCACTTTCTGACGCATAATTCTCAGGTCCATCAACTTGATATGTGATTTCTTCGAACCGGCCATGCATAGCTGCACATCCATTTCCAGAACATTGTAGAATTTGCAAGTTCTTGGCTCCTGGATTATTTAACAGAAAGTTCATTAAGGAACCAGTTGAGGTGTGATTGGAGGCACAATTGTGGCAGAAATTTAAATTGGCAAACCGGGGAGTTTCTTCTATTCTTGGCCCTGGCTCCCATTCGGGTACCAGCGAAGCAATCTCTCCATCAATCATATCAGCTATTTTAGTCACATCTTGATCGGTTATATCCAGTTCTGCAACCATTTCAGTCGCAACACTTAATGCTGTGTCGGTTTCAATGTCAAATGGGAAATAGATGTTTCGGATGCGTCCTGCAAAGAGAAACAATAATGCTGATTTTTTGCTCCCACTTTCAAGTGAACAACTATCAAAATGACACTAAACATGATGTTTATTTATTATTTTTTTATTTTTTTTTACCTTCTTTGTCTGAAATTCTGAGTCTTAAAAAGATGATACCATCTTCTCTCCTCTTCCCTTTGATGGTTATATCAACATTAACAGGATGCTCATCATGTTCATCGTCATTGTATTCAAATAGTTCCATTCCACTTTGTTTGATGTCAGTTGAATGGAGCTCCCATTCATTTTGGGCTTCAAAGTTGACAACACCATTGGCGTAGCCATTGAAGGAGCTGTTACTAAATGATTTTCCTTCATAATGAAGTTCAAGATAAGGATGCCTAAACAAAGGGTCCATGTAGTCTGTTTCTCCACGGCACTCTATCGATTTTAAACCCAATTCACAATCATCAATTTGGAGAAAAGGGTCATTCAAAAGCTCCCTCGCAGAGAGCCTTTGTGACACGGTGGCCAAGCATTTCTCAACAAATTGCCTCACCTCTGGTTCTTTCACTTTGTACAAGGCATCTGGTTTTTTCCCCTAAAGCAATAAAGCATGTCAATTGAGAGAGAGAGAGAGAGAGAGAGAGAGAGAGAGAGAGGGAGGGAGGGGTACTTACAGAGATAACTTTCTTGTAGATCTGAGCAGGATGAGTGCATTCACTATAGGGATATTCAAAGGTGATCATTTCCAAGATGCACATCCCAAAAGAATAAATATCAACCAATTCATTGTACTCCTCGGCATATACTTCTGGAGCCATGAACTCCGGTGTGCCTAATTAACGTCAAAAAATAGATAAAAGCTAACTCAATGATTTCCCTTAATTGTGTCAATTATCCAATCACTCACGCAGAAAGTTACAAATCATCACAAAAACTCATTTTACAACAGATAAAAGGTCATTATTAGTATGCCCCAACAAATTTTCAGCTCTAATATGTGAGTTCTATTTTAGGGAATTGAATTAAACACACCAACACAGTGAGCAGCATGGGATTTTCGAAGAATCGCCGCAAGGCCAAGATCACCGATTTTCACTTCCCCTTGGTTGCCATTGATAAAAATGTTGTCACACTTGAGATCTCTGTGGATGACTGGTGGGTCATGGCTATGAAGATAGAGAAGACCTTTCAAGATCTGTCTGCACCAATGCTTCACTGCTCTAATGTTGACTCGCTTGTGCTTTTGCCTATACCTACCCAAGCAGACAAAAAGGGAGAGAACCCAAATTTAAAAACTATGAAATCTCCAATTGGGTATAATCAAAAGAGGAAACAAGGAAAAGATCAAGAAATCATGAAAAGTTTCATGGTACTTACTGTTTTAGAGTCCCAGAAGTGAACATTTCAGTGACAAAATTGATGTTCCTGTTTGCAGTATCAACCCAAGAAGTGTAAAACTTCATAATGTTGTGGTGTTTCAATGTCTTGAGCAAATGAATTTCACAGTAGAGCCTCTCAAGATCTTCAGGGCTTTGCAGGAAATCATAGAGTTTGACCTGGTTCCAAGCAACTTCAATCCCCTCATACTCATCAAATGCTCTATAACTGCATCAATCAACAACGTATGAAAACACATCAGAATGTTAAATCTATCATGTACACCACTTGCAAATTACTTCTAAAGACCCCAAAGATCCAAATTTTAAAAGAAACCTGAAACAGGAACTTTCACACATCTTCGAAAGCCCCAGAAACTTTCAAGTTGTGAAGAAATGTAAAATGGGCATTTGACAAATCCATATCAAATACCCATCAGGGAAGACCAGAAAAACTTCAAATTTGGAAGAAATCTTAAAATGGGTATGCTGTAAAATAGAAGAAGATAAGTTCTAAATTTACATACACTGTCTTTGAAGAGCCTTTGCCAAGGATTTCATTGTACTGCAACCAAAAAACATAGAAACAAAAACTCAGAACTCAAAATTCCAAGCAGAAACAAGAGAGAGAGAGAGAGAGAGAGAGTACTCTGCCATATCTTCCAGAGGGATCAAGTTCAACAAACTCAGAGTAACCTGATTCAAGATGAGTAAGACCACTCATACTATTCCTCTAAAATCTATCTATCTTGATCTATCTATCCATCTATCTATTCTATATTGCTATAAATAATGTTTCCTTTTTTTCGCTCTTACGAGTTTTGTAGTTTTTTTTTTTGACTCACAGAAAGAGAGGTCATGAAATTGACCATGTAGGTGTGCGTGCGTATGCCCCCAAATTATGTAGTCGTTTAATAACGCCATGTTGCGAACAGATTTTTTTAATATTTTTTTAATTTTTAATTAAAATATAATATAAAAAAATTAATATGTTTATAATGATTTTTTAATTTTTTATAAAAAAGATATGTAAAAAATAAAGAGAAAAGAAAATCTTTTATTTTTTAATATAAATTGTTAATTTTTTAACTTTTTAAATAATTTTTTGACTTTTTGACTAAAAGAATTATTTGCGGAATGAGGATTAAGAGGAAAAATGCTTTATACCACTAATTTAGCACCACTAATGCACCACTAATGATGTGGCATCATGTAGATCCCACTACTGATTTGATAGTTTGGCTTTTATTTTTATTTATAAAAAGATATGTAAAAAATAAAGAGATAAGAAAAATTTTTATTTTTTAATATAAATTATTAATTTTTTGACTTTTTAAATAATTTTTTTAACTTCTTAACTAAAAGAATTATTTGCGGAACGAGGACTAAGAGAGTGGATTACCTTTGCCACCACGTGGTTAAGACTATTTATTTTTTTCCTTATTCCTTACTTTAAAATTTGACACATAGATTACGGTATGATTCCATAGAAATTGTTAACCAAAGACAAAATTACCTTAGATAAAAAGAAGATAAAATTATTTGATTGTATTTGACTTAATTTTTTGTTTAATAAAAATGATTTGGAATATAATTGATAGAGGCTTGTTTTGGGACGTTGGCTTTTAACTATTTTTTTTGGTTTGTAACAAAAGTTAAAAGTTGGCTTTTTTGAATTTTTTTTTCATTTGGGAAGGTGGTTTTTAGCCAAGGGTAAAATTATAATTTTACTCCTTATGAGTCAAAATATATTACATGGGTGAAGTTGTAATATTTTAAACTAAATAGGGATAGTTTGGTCATTTGATTATGATTTGACATCATAAATAAATATTAATAAAAAAAGTCAAAAGTCACTTTTTACCAACTTCCCAAATCATTTGTCTAAAAAAGCCAAAAACTTGATTAAAAGCTAAAAAATCACTTTTTACCATCTTCTCAAAATAAGCCAAAGTAGTGTTAGATATTGTGGTAAGTAGGTTAAAATTGTTAGAATTAAGATAAATTACGAAATTATATTATAAAATAGTTGAGTTTAAAATAAAAACATTGAGAGCGAAAATTCAAAAAAATTGAGCTCGTTGCCATCCATAAGAAATTAATGGGTTTCAATCTCTCCACTTATGAGTAAGAGCTTGTTTGGCATTGTTACACCCAAAATTTGGACATGATCGGTTGTGGCCTACATGGCCTTATCCCAAGGCACACGAAACTTAAATACAAATTCATAATCATTGTCACGACCCAAACCCGGCCCTATGGGTTTAGCACCGTAACCGGCCAGTAATCCGAGATTACCGAAGGCCTACAGAACAGTAATACAGTAAAACAGAGTACAGGGCCTGGCGGAAGCCAATACAGTAAATAAATAATGTCCATTGAGCTGTGACAGTCTGTATGCCAAAAAGATTTTTCATACATTCATACATAAACAGTACAGAACAGCATGCAATATTTACAATCATTCAGATTAGGGACTCAATCCCTACCTAACAGTACGGAAACATTCAGTCTATACAGAACAGTAAACCAGTACAGAAGGGGTAAGTGTAAAACACCCCTAAGCCTTAACGCAATAGGCTCGGAACCTCGCGATGAGGCACAATGGTTGGCTTGACAAAACAGGAGTAACCCTGACGCTCCTAGCTGCGGTCTGGTGCCTGAACACCTACATATATATATATAAGCAGTGAGCTAAAGCCCAGTGAATAACATAAAGCGTAAAGAGGTTAAGAATGAATGTCCTTACAGTATGAAAACAGTTCATTTCAATCAGTCTTTCAGTTGTTCAGTACAGTAAACAGTCGTATGTGGTACATCCGTTAGCATAACAGTAAACAGTAGGTCTAGAAGACCGAACAGTAATGATGGCCATCAGTCAGTAAACAGTAGTGGTTCCAACAAGGGAACCGACAGAGATTTCTGTCACAGTAACAATAAACAGTAGGTGCTAAGGATACCACAATACAGTTCAGAATATAGGACATGCATTCATTCAGTTAACAGTAATCAGTTCAGAATACAGTACAGTTCAGTTGTTCAGAAGATAATCATTTGTGAACATATCTTTACACAATCGTTACTCACAGAGTTTGGGCTACAGTATGCTAGAGCGTGTCTCTCCAGTCGCCAACCCTACACAGTTAACAGATTGAACACACACTAAGCTACACAGCTGTCGATTTGCCGGATTTAGACTCTTTGGTTCAGACTTAGAACCGTGACAATTTGAGAGTCCTGAGCTGTAGTGAGCCCAATATTGAACGAAACGGGGGACTCATCCCTCCCGGGGCGTTCGGGGACGTCTACACATGTGTCGAAATTAATTGATTTTTAACATCATTTTTTTTCTTCTGAATCTTAATCATTCTTGATGTAGCTCGATTTACATTCACAAAATTGGGATTTAAATTCATTATAACCTTTTCAATTTCACAAGTATGTTTGTGAACAATAATACTTATTGAAGGAGTTTAATTGAAGTACTTATTAACTGAACATTATTCATCTAACTGGAAAATTTTGAAGCACTACTCGGCACAAGTGAACCAATAAGAACTACAACAAACATAAAAATAAACAACAAAACAAAAAAACAAAGCTCAACAACAAATCTGAAGCAATATTCATCACAAGTGAACCATATATAGACAGATTTCAGAGATTCATCTATATATATATACAGAGACCGAGAGAGAGAGAGAGAGAGAGAGAGAGAGAGAGAGAGAGAGAGAGCATACGCAGAGGGAGAGAGAGTCGTCGCCGGAGCACCACTACTTGTCGCCGGAGCCGTCGCCGCCGCACCACCGCTGTCTTCCTCGTAGCCCGTTTGGGAAATTTGGGGGTGAAGTTAGGGATTTGGGGAGGAGGATCGAGCGGCAACAGGAAAAAGAAGGGTTTTTTTTTTTTGACTTTTTGCGACGGTATGATGTAGACCGTCGCAAATAGAAGGAAAAACGGCGCCGTTTGAATTAATCCTTTTTTGCGACGGCAAATTTCCGTCGCAAATGATATATGCCGTCTAAAAAAAAAGGTGTTTTGCGACGGTTTTATTTACCGTCGCTAATACTTCCGCATTTTTGACCCCTCCGCTTAGTTTCATTACCGACGGGTAAGTGCCGTCGCTAAAGGCTATTATTTGCGACAGGTGAAGTTACCGTCGCAAAAAACCGTTTTTTGCGACGGGGGGCGCGGCGTCGCTAAAAACTCCGTGTTTTTTGCTATGTTTTCCTGTAGTGTAGGTTAAAATTGTTAGTATTAAGATAAATTACGAAATTATATTATAAAAATAGCTGAGTTTAAAATAAAAACATTGAGGGCGAAAATTCAAAAAAATTGAGCTCGTTGCCATCCATAAGAAATTAATGGGTTTCAATCTCTCCACTTATGAGTAAGAGCTTGTTTGGGATTGTCACACCCAAAATTTGGAGATGATCGGCTGTGGCCTACATGGCCTTATCCCAAGGCACACGAAACTTAAATACAAATTCATAATCATATAGAATAAATGTAACAATAATCCTGTAATAAATAAATCAAAACTCAATCCAGTAACATGTTACAAGTATAAACGGTCAAAACCAAGCATAATCAATACCATTCAAACCATTAGGACACAAACAACCCATATAACAAAATAATCCTAAATGAATCTCAATAAAAAAGTATGCATACAATTGACATAACAATCTATAAATAAAAATAAAAAATGAATATCCTAGAGGTCCATAAAATCGAGTTTCTACTAAGCCATGAATCCATTCTAAGTCTTTCTCTCACCTGAAAATGATAAATAATTAAGTCAGCTGATAGCTCAGTGAGTAGAAGTATGGATAGTAAAATACAATTTCGAAAATAGGGTTTAATTTCAAAATAAGATTGTACATAATAGAAATTAGATTTGCATACAGTTTTGATAAAAACAATCTGATTCACAAAAAAAAAAAAATTCACAACTCATCAATTAAAAATATTTATGTCTCTCAAGAACATAATAAGAGACGTTCTCCACTTAAAAATATACAATAGCATAATCATCATCATTATCTAGGTACCAAGCATAATAACTAATATGTCACAAAGTTCTCAAAGCAATAAACTTGTTGGATCTCATATCGAATCAAGAGTCATCATCGGGGTGACAACTTGAGTCGTTTCTCTAAGACGATTTGGACGATTTGATTGTAGGTCACCTAACCTAGCCTAGCCTAGCTTAGGTTTGTTCCTTACAATTATTGAGCACTAGAATCATCATAGCCTACCCCGGATCTGTTCCCTAATGGCCAGAGTCACCACATACAGTGAAATAAATTCTCTGGACTTTTATTTATATGGTCATAATAATTAATATAATTCAGTTTCGCAAAAAGTGACCGTCACTATTACAAACATGAGATCATTTCAAATAATTTATCACATGTCAAGTTTACACATTTTTCAGAAATAATTTAGTTCCATTAATAATATAATAATTTTATTAAAACAATTTAATTATGAAATAACAATTTAATTTTTCAGTAGTTCAAGGTAAGAGAACATTTATAAAAATATGTAGCATGCATCTACTCACCTGACAACTACACAATATAATCCTCAAATAGAATACTGAAAGTCCAACTAATGTTATGAACTAAATTTGAAAACTACATGTCACTACTAATTCAAAAGTTCTAAAAGAAATAATAAACTAAGTAATCCTAAAATGCACTAATACGCTTCAACTTAACTCATAGTTACTCTTAAATAATACATAAATTCATGTTCTTCAATATCCAAAATTAATCAAGACATGGGTTTTGAGCAAAATTTAATTAAATGCTGGTTTGAGATAAAACAAAACTTTAAATAGATTTTCTCAAT